ACATGCGGTGTTTGATCTTCTGCTCCTCTGTCAGTTTGCTGAGAATGATGGTTTCCAGGTTCATCCATGTCCCCACAAAGGACCCAAACTCATCGTTTTTGATGGCTGCATAATATTCCATCATACCATGGAATACTATACAGCCGTACAAAAGAACAAGATCATGTCCTTTGCAGGAACATGGGTGAAGCTGGAGGCCAGCATCCTTAGTAAACGAACGCAGAAACAGGAAACAAAATACCACATGTTCCCACTTATAAATGGGAGCTAAATGATGAGAACACATAAACACACAAAGGGAAACAACAGACACTGGAGCCTATTGAAGAGTGGAGGGTGGGAGGAGGGAGAGGATCAGGGAAAATAACTAATGAGTACTAGGCTTAGCACCTGGGTAATGAAATATAATCCATACAACAAACTCCCATGGCATGAGTTTACTTATATAACAAACCTGAACTTAAAATAAAAGTTAAAAATAAAAATAAATAAATAAAAATAAATTTCCGGCCTCATTTTAAAACTATGATTCAGTAGCAACTTTTGTTTTTAGAGAAAATTATTTATTTTCACTGCCCAAGTTGAACTCTAGGCTGTGAAGAAACTAAACCTAAGAGAAGGCTTCACAGTGACATCTAGAGAGGCTTTAGAAGGTCCTTAAGAAACCTCTGCCTTTTTTTTGGTGGGTGTTTGTTGTTCTCTGCAAACCGTTCACTTCCCCATCCTCTAATGGCTCCTTCAGGGCATGTCCCATCCCCATGGCATGCAGTCTTGGTGGGATGGTCAACAAAAGTGTCCTACTAAGGACACAGGGATCAAGATCGACCTATCTATTTCCTAAAAATTAAATATTGAGTAGAATGACAGAAGAATAAGAAACTGTTGGGGTTGGTTCTGTTTCTGTTTGTCTCTCTTCCTCCTTTCTTCCCTCCTTCTCTCTGTTTCCTTTTCATTGTGTTAAGTTAGCCAGGCATAGTTTCTATTGCTTGCAACAAAAAAATCCTAAATGATATATTGCAGTTCATGCATCTCAGTATCTTGTGAATCTAGTTTAACCACCAGGAGGGCAGCCACAAGGGTAAGACAGACGGGGGGAACTTGGACAGAGATACCAAGGTTATAGCTTTCTAGAAAGCTTGCTAGAATTTCCAAGTTGCTTCAAAATGGCATATGAGGAAGAGGAAAGGGATAGTGGAAGACTGTGTAGAATGGAAAATCTTGTAAACATCTGCCAATGGAGGCTCTCTTGGGCACTAATTCAGGTTATGAGAAGCATTATGAGCAAGACACAGCAGCAGGAGGGCAATACCATGGACCAGCTGAGTCACCACCATGACTCAGGTAAAGGCAGAACAATAAGGTGGAGTCTATACACTAAGGTGCCATTCAGGAAATATTTAGGGTAATATCGGTGGATGAGGCAGAGCACCCTGGAGCAACCGGCCACAGCCACCAGGGAAGACATGGAAGTAATGGCTACAGCGTGTGCCAGGACTGAGGGCTCCTTGCTCAGCCATTGCAGGAGGCTTTCTGTATGTCTAACCTGCTATCCTCACAGGCTGTTTTGCCAGACAGAATGGGAAAATTCTAAGGGAAATCCAGGTCCTGCAGAGGCTCCTCTGTATCACGGCTGTTGCCCTCTGTCAACCTAAATGACCAACAGAGAAAGCCTCTCTAAAAGAAAATGGTGTTTATTCGGGAAAAGGGCATTACAATACGGGAGCCATAGTAGATAACGCGTGTGTACAGGGAGGTAAAAGTACTTAAAGAAAAATAAAGATGATTATATAATAGTTTTGAGATAATTATCCTTGGCTGCAAGGTGACAGCAGTCTGAGTCTGAGCAGGCAGTTGCTGGGCAGATGTTCTCACAGAAATATTTTTGTGTGAGTTTGCAATGGTCTCTGCGCAAAGTTGTGGGTTTTTTTTTTTCAGTTTCTTGTGATAGTTTTTGTTATCAGACATTTATGTATGAGAACTCTCTCTTCATAGCCTTCCCCAGCTCTATTTGTCAAGGTTTTTTCAACACAAGTGACTTCATTTTGATTCTGACAACTTTCGCACTTCCAATGGCTGGGAAAATACCCTAATTTGGGGATTCTTCAGGGTCTTCTACAACCTCCATACTCAGAGCTACAGACAGCAGGCTCTCCCAGGACCTCACATTCTAGAGTATTTGTTTATAACGGGAAGTCATACAGCACAGTAGTCCTGGAGTTTGAATTCCTTTCCCCTTTGCCACAGCTGCGAAGCCCAGAGATGCCCAGTAGCCATTTCACAGCGTTGCTGTGAGGATAAATGAGATGTTGCACATAATGAATTTAGCACAGAGTCCCACGCACATGAAGTGCTCAAAAAAGTCAGAGAAAGTGCCAGCGAAGATGCTCACTGACGCAACCAGGAACTGCTCCATTTCCTTCATTGTCACTAACAAACTCCTATACATATTCTGTGGAAGAAAAAACCCTGTTGCCATGCTTGCACCCCATGACCATCAAGTGGTTCTAGAAGACTCCTGCTGCAGGTGGAAGGGTCAGAAGGGCAGTGGCTGTTGCTGCAAGAAGGGGGACTGGGAGCATCTGGCAGCAACATCCCTTAAAGCCAAGTGGCAGCTGATTCACACGAACAGTATTTGGATAGAGGTGGAAGGAATAAGAGAGAAGCCTGCCCCTGCCTCCCAGAAGCTGGCTCCTCTCTCATCATCACAGCTGCCATCTTTCATCATCCAGGCCTCCCCCAGATGTGGCAGCCAACTCACTCACAGAATCTCCTCCCACACCAGGAACATGTTGAGACTTTGCTGTCTGTTCCCAGCACTCTTAGGATCTGTTCTCTGGTCTCTTGTGTAGGAGGCAGAGAAGAGCAGCAGAAGAAAAGGGGTTGAGGAGATTAAAAATTGCTTTTGATACAGCTAGAGAAAAAATACATTTGACATTTAGGTAGATTAAACATTATGGCAAGATTAAATGCCCATGTTTAGAGGAGGTCCACGTTCACAGAGAAAAAAATCACGAGTTGCAACAGTTAGCAAGGCAAGGCTCAGTCCCTCCACTTGTGCAGTTGCTTCCAATGTGGACTCCAGCTTCAGGAGTGCAGTGATGGACATGATGAAAATTAACTCATTTTATCCAAAGTCCGAATATAACTCCAGTAAAAAAGTAAACTTCATTTAGGTATTTCCACCACTACATTTTTAAAATACAGACATTTCCAAAGATACTTCTCTATGTTCATGTCCAGTTGCTTTTACAACATCAGCAAAATTCCAGTTGGAAATTGTTCTGCCATCACAGTGCCCCTTCAGAAATGGTCCACAGGAGGTTAGTGGTGCTGAATCCTCAGCTCACTCTATATAGTTCCCTGGAGGAATTCTAGCACTCATTTCCAGTGGGTTCATATATGAATCTAATAACAACGTTCACATTTGGAACATGAATATGAAAATATTGTTTACCTGGAGTCTCAGACCCTGTGCTAAGCGCTTTATATGTGTTGCCTAATTTTACAGATAACGAACATGAGAGAGGTTCACATCAGAGAGCTAGTAAGTGGAGAAGCTGGGATTCCAACCTGATCCACTTCTTTGCAACTGTTAGGTGACCCTGATAGAGTTAGATGGACATGTTTCCTCATCATGAAGACCCCAGTCTTTATAACTGTCCCTATGTCCACAGAATCTGCCTTATATTATTAGGAGAGCCCCAAAACGTTTATTCTTAGTCATTGGTTTTACTTCTTTAAGTGGGACACACCTGAATTTACCACCCACTAGTGAATTTCAACTCCATAACCAAAGTAAAGCACTCCAGATCTGTAGTTCTCTCTCTAGAATTCTAGGAGTAAGGTTGAAATCTAAAATTAAGAGTTCTACAAAAACATAAAATGAACCCTTTTTGTTAGTTACAGAGAAAAGTAACAAAACCTGTTTTGAATTCACATTGCCATTTGACTGTCACAGGTTTCTTCACAGATTTTCAATATTCTCAAACTCATGGAGGATAAAGGATGAAGAGAAGCCAACTGAATTACTAAGGATGCCACATTAGTGGAGAGAGCCAAGGGATGTAAGTGGCGGCTGGCCACCAGCAGATCTTGAGTGCCCGTTATCTAGGTATCAGTCCATCCAGTTTCCCCTGCTCATTCCAGTTGCCAACACAGGCATCAGAGAATCTTTCCAACTCATTCCTGCTCATACCTCATAGCAGTCCACTGAGAACAGATACACTGCTATCCCCATTTTCAGATAAGATAACTGGCTTAGAAGAGCCAAGCAACTTGCCCAAGATCACAGAACCATTGAGTGGCAAACCTGGATTACAACCAGCTCCCTCTAAGCCCTTAGACTGGAAACAAATATTCTGTTTTCTAATAAAACCCTAGCCTTTTGTAAAAGATGCCCTTTAGGAACTTTCCTAAGATAGGTAGTGACCTGCAGAGAGTGCATTTGTGATCCAAATCAAACCTAGGCTGAAAGAGACGAAGCAAGGGCCAAACACAGTGATTCACTGCCTGCTTTGTGAAAGACAACAGTAATTCTAGGTCAAAGTCTAACGAATGGATGTCTGCATAGCAATTAGCAGTGCCGGCACCCTGACTGGCAGTCTTGGCAGAGCATCTGTGATCGTCATAGAAACTGGACTACTCTCTCCCCCACAGAGAAATTCCACGTGGCTGATCCAGGATGGATCAGGCTGCCAATGACTCTTTCTTCCTCAAGCTAGAATCCTGCCCCTTTAACACCTTTCCAAAAAGAGGCAACCCATGGATGGTAAGAGCAAGATGGGATAGTTGTGCCTGGTAGTAAAAATATGGTATTATCCTTCATTTCATCCAGCTTTGAAACTTCTGTTAGGAGCTCACACATGCCCCCAAGGGTAGCTCCTCAAATCTGCTAAAGAAAAGTTAAATAGAATTAGTTTTGTTCAATGTCTTCCATTCTGTAAGACTGATCATTTGCAGTCAAGAATGACAATATTAATGGAACCAAAGAATATATACCATTAACATTTTTTCTTAATTCTACAAGTATCTGAAAGTCTCTGTAATTCCCTTAAAAATAAAAAAAAATCAAGCAATATTAATTTAAGGAGTACTTAAGTTGAGCAATCAGTTATATATAAAATCAATGTTATATTTCTCCTGTTATTTACAGTATATGGCATTACATTGTAAAAACTACCTTATCTTTTACAAGGGGTGGAGGATTTGAGGAATCAAAACTTATAGAATTCCTAGTATGAACTGAGCATATCATTTTATCTACATCTACAAGATATTATCTCCATCTTGTGTGAATGAAAACAAAATTCAGAGAAATTAGATAACCACTGCACTCTAGCCTGCACAACAGAGTGAGATTCCTTCTGAAAAAAAGAAACAGACACCAAATCCACAGAACTTCACTCTGATATGGAGTAGCAATTAAGAGCATGAAATCTGGAGCTAGACTTCCTGAGTGTGAATCCTGGCTCCACGTGACCTTAGGCAAGTTACTTAACCCCTTCTGTTGTATTAAAAGAGCAAAACGATGAGTTTGTGTACTTTGTAGGGGCATGGATGAACCTGGAAACCATCATTCTCAGCAAACTGACAGAAGAGCAGAAGATCAAACACCGCATGTTCTCACTCATAGGTGGGTGTTGAACAATGAGAACACATGGACACAGGGAGGGGAGCACTACACACTGGGGTCTGTTGGGGGGAAATAGGGGAGGGTCAGTGGGAGGTGGGGAGTTGGGGAGAGATAGCGTGGTGAGAAATGCCAGATACAGGTGATGGGAGGAAGGCAGCAAATCACATTGCCACGTGTGTACCTATGCAACAATCTTGCATGTTCTTCACATGTACCCCAAAACCTAAAATGCAATAAAATAAATTTTAAAAAAAAGAGTGAAAGTGTGGGAATGCTTAAAACACTGCCTAGAACTTAATAAAGTCCATATACAGGTTCAGTAATCAATATACCACAGGGAACTAATTAAGGTAATGGAATTAGCATGTGACCTAACTGGTCTACTTATATGGTTTTCCTTAATGTGCTATATTAAGGAGGCTGTATTTAGGAGCTGAAAAAGGAGCTTGTGCTTGCCATTGTGTTGCAAAGTTAAGAGGAATATATATTTAATCTATATAATTAGTAATGGTAGGTTCTCAGTCCTGGGAGCTCTCTGGTTGTCCAGATCCCAAAGACAGACCATGGGTGTTGGTTCACCTTCTCAGGAGCTCCTGAGATTTGGAAGGCACATTTCCTTTCATTAAAATAGTCATGGTAGGTACATGCTTTCATGCGAAATTGTCATTCCATTTCCTATTCACTCTTTCATGATTTTTATTAGATTTTCTTAGAAAATACTAGCGTATTAGAAAATAAAAATTGGGGCTCATAGCAAAGAACATTGGATGTCTAGCCAGTTTGGAACACATAATTCTTTTAAGAGATGCCAGGGACATTACCCTCTTAGAAGAACCGGGAGCAACAGGCTTAAAGGGATTCTAGACACTGCATGTATTAATTATTAGAACATCATTCTTTGTTCCCCTATTCTATTACTCACTGGTGACTAATCTTAAGGAGAAAGGTCATTATTACAAACAGCAAGAAAACAGAGGTTTAAGTTAAAATTGCCTTGGAAGTCTATAAAACTGTGATTTTCCTTCCTTTGAGGAATAGTAAATGCAAGTATTATAATTCATAAGGGATATTCCTTTATACAATTTAAAATCAAAATCTCATTACTCTCATCATTGCATTTTCAATAAGAATTAAATTTCTGAATTTTATTGGTTTTAACTATGGACTCTGCTCAAAGTTCCCAGGTTTGGAGAAAAAGTAGGACAGCATTTCTATTCCATGCACTGAGAGAGACCTGGAAAGGATGCGAAACAGCTATCACACTCCAGGAACTGCAGCAAGGCAGTATGACCCAGTTGTAGACCCAAACACCTGGTATTCTTTTCTAGTTTTGCTGCTATCTGGGCCACATCATCCTTCTAACTTCTCTGAGCTTGGTTTTCTCACTCTGGTGAAGTGTACGTTAATGCAGGGAATTTAGCAGGGAATTTACTAATGTGGTTATACTCTTGCAGTCAGCAATGGTAATTCTCTTTCTCTTTCTCACTCACTTTCTCTCTCTCTCTTCCTCTCTTATTTTGCTTTATAAAGACTCAAACTAGTGGGTGATAGCTACCCTAAAAGTCCAGACTTCACCACTACACAATATATTCATGTAACAAAATGGCACTTGTACTTCTTACATATATTTTTAAGACTCAAACTAGATTTTATGTATATATTTATGAATATGCATGTATGCCATATATGATGAAGGTATTTAATATACAATCATTTTGTAGATGTTTAAAAATCATCCTTCCTGTGTGCAATGTTATTGTCTAAATGTTGATGAAAGACCATTTTACCCCAGGGAGATGTTGACGGGGTCACAGGAACAAGCTCCCTTCACTTCTTGGGTTACTTTCCAAAGACACCAGGTACAAAGATCAAGGAAGCTCTTCTGCAGAGACCGCCTAGGGAGCTGGAGCATTTTCCTTGCATTTGCTGGGCTCCTCCTACTCCAGGAGTTTCTCATCAGCAATGGTCCTCAAAGCAAAACCTCTGAACCAACAGCATGAGCATCAGCATCACCTGGGAACTTGTTAGAAATGCAAAATTCTCAGAACTCACCTGAGAGGCACTGAATGAGAGCCTCTGGGAGTGAGTCATAAGCCCCCTGCTTGATTCTGACGCATGCCCAAGTTGAGAACCTCTGCCTTACAGTATAGACACACACAAGCAGCCATTCGGAAAGTAAAAGAAACTATTGTAGTGGGATAACAATCTGATGGTATGAACCATATATCATACAGGTTATTATAGCGCAATCTTTTCAAACATTATTTTGATATCTCCCGTTTAAAACCAAAATTTTAATATGATTTTATTCATAGTTTTATTTCATTTCTTAAGTCAAGAGACATTTACTGAGCCTCCACCAGGTACCAGGTACTGGGGATATTGAGATGACAAAGACTTCGTCTTCTGCAACTCATGCTAGACTAGGGATCCAGAAGGAGGGGAGGATTATGCAGCCAATATTTACTGAACACTCACTATGTGTTCTCTGTACATGAGATGTCATTTACTAAAGCGATCCAATGAGGTTTTCACCATCATAACCCATATATTGCGGAAGAGATAATCTTAACAAGGTCAACAACCTGCCCAAAGTTGAGGATATTTTTTTCTTTCACGCTTCTATTTTGAAAAATTTCAACCCTACAGAAAAGTTGAAAGAATAGTACAATGATTATAGCCTTCATCTAGATTCAACAATTGTTAATACATTACCCCTAAATACATCATAATGTATTTTTAAGACACCTTTTACATAAGCACAAAACCTTTATCACATCCAATAAATTTATCACTGATTCAATAATATGTTTTGTAATCCCCAGTTGACTCAAAAATAGCCCAGATAGCTGGCTTCTCCCACCCCCAACCAATCATGTCCCAATCAAGGAACATGATATTGTATGTGGTTATCATGTTTCTTCACTTTCAATTTCCCTTAATAGCCCCCTGCTTTTTTTTGTATTTAATGTTTCATGACATTGGCATTATTTGAAGAATCTAGGATAGTTGTTTAGGAAAATTCCTTACATTTTAGATGTGGCTGATTATTTCATTTTTAACTAGAAGTTTTACAATGATGATGTTGTGTATTTCATTTCATATCACATCAGGAATCTTATACCAGTTTGACCTAATACTAGACATGCTAACAACAATTCCTTGGTTGAAGTAGTGTCCATCAGATATTTTCATTGCCAGGGTACCTTTTTCTCCTTTGTAATTTTCAAGTAATCCTCAGGGTGATGTTTTGAAATACAATACTATATCCTGTTCTCTAGCAATCTTTTATCCAATGGTTTCAGCATCCATTGATGATCTTTTAAAATAATTTATTATATTGATGGCTGCAAAATAGAAAACTTTCAAATTCTATCATCTCTCCAAAGTTTATCAGCTGACACTCTGTTACAAAACAAAACTTCTTTCTGCTTCTCTTATGTCTCTTTGGAACATCCCTATGGACTTGTTGATTCTTTTTTAAAAATTAATATATTATAATTCATTATTATTATTATTTTAATGTTTAAGTGTTTCCCAAATTTAACCAAAGAGAGCCCAAGACAGTTTCTTACCCATTCGTCATTTCTTCACAGTTCTCTGAGCATGTCTTGCTTTCTAGCCCAATAACATATTCCAGAAGCATATTTCTATACTCCACACCTGGAATTGACCATTTCACCCAAGAAATTCTGACTCCCTTTAGTAGGCAATGGTCTTTAGAAATCAACGTCTGCAAGTCACAGCTGGAATTTGAACCATACTGTGGGACTGCAGAGCATGCTCTGAACATTGTGCTATATGATTCTAGTTAAGTATAATATCCTCTAGTAAGTGAGGTACACCAAAGATGTTCTAGGAATACAGAGGCGGTTGTGAATGGGAAAAAAGGGAGGATTTTGAAGGGAAGGATTGCCTTGCTAATCCACCTTTACTGTTATTTCCATGCTGATGCCAGAGTGATTTCATTTAAGCACCTGGACACTGGAAATACGGTTTTCCCATCTTTCACCCTAGTCACAGATATCTCTGAAAAAGCTCTTTTTTCCTGGTATTCAGAAAGATCTAAGAGAAACCACTCCTCTCCTTCATTCTACTCCTTTACCTCCTTTTACACATTCACACATTCTTTTTGAACTTTAATTTTTCCTCAAAGCATACAAAGTTTCTTTTCAAAGGAATTCTCTTTCTTCAGAGTCATCATTTGGGAGCTTCTAACTCCTACCGTTCTCATATAGACCTCTCCAGACCTCATTATCTTAGCATAAGAGTTAGTACAGAATGTCAGCGTGTTTTAAACTTGACTTCTTTCCCTTCTACAAATAAATAAATAAGCCCAATTTTAGATTTCAGCTATCCTGTCTCAGCTGTGTGTGAGCACCTCTCAAATCCACATACATAAGAGAGCAATTTTTTTTATCCGAAGTTTATATTTGCCTAGTAAGGGAGTATAG